ATTTCTGTAAGTGGGGTGTTAAAGTCCCCTGCAATTACCACATTCTTATCAATAAGGTTGCTTATGTTTATGAGTAATTGTTTTATATATTTGGGCGCTCCGGTATTCGGCGCATAGACATTTATAATTGTTAGCTCTTCCTGATGGATAGACCCTGTCACTATTATATAATGTCCTTCTTCATCTCTTGTTACAGCCTTTAATTTAAAGTCTAGTTTGTCTGATATAAGTATGGCTACTCCGAGGTTTATGACTTTTAAGGGCTCTAAGATGATGGGCAGAATGCCCATGGAATTGAAATTAAAGGCAAACCAGGTGCCAGGCCTGAAGCAGCAGACTTTAGTTTCCCAAGATGGGGCTTCTCATCTCGAGCACATACCAGGTTCATTTTACTTATTTACGTGAATACACCCCCTACTTGGCTCACATGTGCCTACAGATATAATCTCAAGAACACACACACACACACACACACACACACACACCCCTGCATGCATACACCTGTACAAGTATGCATTCCTGGTTTATTTTTCAATGGATAGACTGTTAATGGAGAAACTCTTTTGAACTCCGAAGTACTGGATTTCAAAGGCTGCAGAGGTAAGGTAAGGTAAGACTAGAGTTTTGGAGCCATTGTCAGAATGGACGATTGTAACCCTTTCCCAGGACCAGTATCACTCTGTGGCCACCACCAAAAGCTGTTTAGAGATCTGCAGCTCTAACCTTGCTCCTCTGTGAACGCCCTGGCAAGCTGGTTCTCTCTGGCATTGGCATTCCTGGTTTATATCCAGTTACTTTTACCCTGGGTTCCTGGGGGTGCAGGCCTTGGTAGAGCTGGGGGTAGGGGCATCAGCCTGTGGGCAAGCCCAGGAACTGCCCCTACAAGTTCAGGAGCTGTCCACCCCTTGACCTTCTCTAGGAGCTGGGCTACCAGTTTCCTAAGCAACAGAAACAGCTAGAATGGGGGTGCTGCATATAACACCTGTAAACAATGCCAATCAAATGCCTATATGTGGGTTGAGAAGTGGATTATATCCCTATAACTACGGGAATAAATAATATGTCCAGTGAGTGGGAAAGCTGATTCATTGGTCCATGTGGGAAAAAAAAATGAATTATGCTGTGTGCAAGTGTGTTTGAGTGTGTGTGTGTGTGTGTGTGTGTGTGTGTGTGTGTGTGTTTTCCCCAGACCACTTTCCCTATTTCGTGGTCAGGTGAAGAATGAGACTGTGGCAGACTGTGTATAGAACTGGTTGCAGGATGCCGGGGTGGCTCAGTTGGTTAAGCATCCCAACTCTTGATTTCAGCTCAGGTCAGGATCTCACAGTTTGGTGAGTTTGAGCCCCATGCTGGGCTCTGTGCTGACAGTGTGGAGCTTACCTGGGATTCTCTGTCTCCCTTTCTCTCTCTGTCCCTCCGTAGCTTTCTCTCTCTCTCTTTCTCACTCTTTCTCCCTCTCAAAAATAAATACATAAACATAAAAAAAAAACCCAAAAAACTTCTGTTTGCTTTGAGCAATAGTCACCATTAACTCTTCATTTTCCCACTGTAGCAGTGATTCCAAATTGCTGGCCTCTGGACAGTTCCAAGTTCGCGAGCAAAGTTTTGCCAGTAAGTTTTCACCAGTGAACAGCAAAGAGAGGAAAATGAAGACCAAGCTGTGAGTTTTTAATAAAGCTAATTTAATTTAGTAGAAGTAACTGTCCTATATTCCGAGATTAGGTCTTTCAGCTCTTTCTTATTGTTTTTCATGATTAAGAGCCCCTCCCCCTTCTTTTTTTAATGAAAGGAATGTGATATTAAATTTTAGTTAGATCTTATTTCTTACTAGACTTTTTTTTACCAAAATGAAAAGTTGGCAACCCACTGTCAAATCACTTTTTTTTTGTTCTTTTACAATATTTACTTACTGGTAAAGCCAAATTTAGGAAATCATCACGAAGATTATCAGGCAGTATCTAGCTCAGCAGTTCTCATTCTGAGTGTGCATCAGAACTGCCTGGAGAGTCTGTTTTAGACAGAGGTTGCCAATCCCTGTCCTCAGAGTTTCTGATTCAGTAGGACTAGAAAAGAGGCTGGAGAATCTGTATTTCTAGTAAATTTTCAGGAGATGCTGCTCACGGGTCAAGGACCATACTCTGAGAACCACTGGCCTGGCTTGTCCATGGTGGAATGGGGAAGGCTTTCTGAGACTTGAAGGGAGGATCCTCATTATAGGCAGAGGCCTGGAACGCTGCCAATGCAGAGACACTGTCCCAGACGCTGTAGCTGTGGGCTTCAGATTTCTTCCACCTTCCACTAGCGAGGCCAATAATGTGGGCCAGAGAAGCAGTGCTCCTATGAAAGCAAACAAGCTTGCTTTCTGAGCTAAGTGACTCTACAAAGACTAGACTGTTCCATTTTTAAGCTGGAGGAAGAGAGAATGTTCTAGGTTGTCCACCTGATATGTCAGCGCAGATTCTGAATGTGTCAGGCATCTGTCACTTGTGGTTACTTTTTGCCTTTGGTGGCCATGGGCTGCAAGGAAGGTAGTACAGAGCTGACTTCCTTGGGCCCTGGGGTGATGAGAGGAAAGACCTTGGGGCTTGGGGCTAAGGATTCAGTCTGTGACATCCTGCTGAGATGACTTATGCAGGGTCAGTGTAACTTTTGAAGGCTACTTAATAGTGTTCTTTATTTGTTTTCTCACTCTTTCCCACTCTGATTTCTCTAACTGGGATGTCCTCTGAGGTTATGTTCATTTTATCTCATTTTTCTTCCAAATGAATGTATCACCTTTATGTATTTTAATGTTTATATAATACTTGGTTTAATTCGCACACTTAATACTGTCTAAGAACCTGGACCCTGGTTTGGTGTTGGGCTAAAATAATCTGGCAAATTACTGGCTCTTCAAAAACATACACATTAAAATAGAATTGTACAGAAACAGCAAAGAAATACAAATAATATGTGTTTCAGGGATATGTATTTTAGCTGATGATAGAATGTAACTGATCATAAATGTTCTAAGTGTCAGGGGCCCCTGGGTGGCTCAGTCGATTGAGCTACCAACTCTTGGTTTTGGCTCAGGTCATGATCTCATTGTTCATGGGTTTGAGCCCTGCTGACAGTGTGGAGCCTGCCTGGGATTCTCTCTCTCCCTCTCTTTCTCTCTGCCCCTCCGTGTCTCACACACACGTGTGCCCTCTTTCTCTCTCAAAATAAATGAACATTAAAAAATATAAATAAATTTTCTAAATGCCTGAGTTACTTCTCTGAAGCAGGTTAGCCATCCTGGGGTCTCCCATTAGCTCTGCATTACAGTCATGGGATACACTAAACTATAATGAGTACATGCGGTAGGGATCAAGTTCATGATTCATGGAAAATTATTCTGGGTCATCAGAAAAAGGCAATCGACAGAGTCAGGTTTCTATTGTCTTTGCTCCTTAAAACAGCAACTGGAGGAGTAGTGTGAAAGTGGACATCTGAAACCCAGCTTTACATTTTTCAGGAAAGATATGTGAGCATTCCTTCTGTGCCCTCCCCTTTTCTGTCCCGAAGCCCCAGTCTATCAGGGTCTCGTGCGTGATGAGAACGCTCAGGCCAGGACCTACAACAAGATGAGACACGTCCAGTGGATTTATTTGGGCTGGTAGTTTTCCTGCGTGCTATTTTGTGACCAGGAAGAGAAACAAACAACCCAAACTCAGTCCTCCTACACAGGAGAGCCACTTACATTTGTCCTGCAAGGAATCGTGGGGCACTTCTCCCTGAGGACTTTCTTCCAAGTCTCCATAATGCAGAACCTTGTGGTTGGGTGAAAGTCGACAGTACCAAAACTTGTCTGAAGGAAAAAAAAACACACAAATTTATAAGGTAAGTGATTCTGATTTCTAAAAGTATCAACATCCCGGGCGCCTGGGTGGCTCAGTCGGTTAAGTGTCTGACTTCAGCTCAGGTCACGATCTTGCGGTCAGTGAGTTCGAGCCCCGCGTCGGGCTCTGCTGACAGTTCGGAGCCTGGAGGCTGCTTTGGATTCTGTGTCTTTCCCTCTCTCTGCCCATCCCCCACTTGTGCTCTGTCTCTGTCTCTGTCTCTCTCAAAAATAAATAAACACTAAATTTTAAGTCTTCAGGAAGGAAGGAATTCTAGAGCCCTGGGCAATAGGCCTCTTGATTTTGATATTTAGTTAGCACTGTCCTGACTAAAATACATTGGGTAACCACTGGGGAGGTTATTAAATCCTTCAGGCATAATGGCAGCAGGTGTTCTGCGGTGGTGGCTTCCAGAGTGTCATTTCATCAGTATTTATAATGACTATGGGCATCCTTCCCTATCCTCTTAGGTCTGACAAAAGTGGGGAGGGAAATGTAGAAAAAGCAGCTTTCTTGGAACTCCCCTGCTTCCACTTTCCTCTCCGAGATTTTAAAACTGTTGAGGTAATTTAGTTGTGCCACATCTTAGTTGCTATACCGAACCCCCACCCCTGGGGCTAATACATGCAAATTAATCAACAAATGGATTTTTAGGATGCCAGTGATACACATAAGGGGTGGAGTTTATGAGGAAATAACCTAAATGATTCAGGGATTTATCCAAAGAATGAGGATATTCACAATCATCTCCTCTCTAATTCCTAGAGTGTAGTCCTCTGAATAGACATGACTAGAAGGGGATTAAGAGGTGCAGTCTTCCCTTTATAAAATGATTAAGAATGGGGATGTAATGTATGGCACAGGGAACACAATCAGTAGTATTGTAACAACTGAGTATGGTGACACATGTAACTACACTTACTGTGGTGACCATTTTGTAATATACGAAGTACTGAATCACTATATTGTACACCTGAAACTCAAAAAAAAAAAAATTAAGACAAAAATAAAGAACTAGACATGACCAGGGTCTTAGGACCATACTTACAAATAACTCCCTCAACTTAACTTCCTCTGTGTTCCAAGGTAATAAAAATGAATAAGCCTGAGAGGTAGGGGGGAGGCAAAAACACTTTTTATAGATAAGAAATTTAAATTGTGACAGCAATCTTTGTGAAGCTCTCAAGCAAGGCTGTGCTTAGATGCCTCCTCCTCCAGGAAGCCCTCTCTGATTACTACTGCTGAAGGAACTCTCCTCATCCTCTTGGATGCCCCAGTGTCTTCTTTGATTATTAGTGCCCCCATGTTAAGCATCTTAGTATTTCCCCTTCTTTACCACAAACCCTAGGCAACTTGCCCTCGCAGGTGTACTGCTAACAATGACTGATGGAAGAAGAGGACTCAGGATACTCATGAGCCTGGACAGTGTGAAGCCAGAGCTCTCTAATGACAGCCACTGTCTTCATAATTGCACTGTCCCAATCCCTTGGCACAGTGCCTGGCACATGGGGGTTGCACAGTTGGTGTTGGTTAAATTGATAAATGAGGACCCAAGGGGACTTGGTCAAAATGCTTAAGGCACAAAGCATCTATGACGTTGAAAGCATCTATGACCTGTAAGCCCCTTTGTGCAATGATGCAGTTGGCAAACATGGTGGCCTTGGTCAAGTCACCTCATTACTGTGCCTACAAACATGTATTGCTTTGAAACTGCTCTGACTAGAAAGCTATCACAACATTTTAAAGAAAGGGTTTTTCTATCTAAAATCGCCTTCACTGCAAAGCTTATATTTTAACTAGGACTCTTTTAATAGAAAAGAAAGATTTAAAAATGGAACTAAAAGCCACACAACGAACAAAGAAAATGCCCCAACTTGATCTACAAAAGCAAAACACCTTTGGGATTCCTATCTTCCTCATCTATAAATAGGGTTTGAGAACTCTTGAAGGTACTCATAATATGGCAATCCACATTTTTAAAAGAATCTGAACTCTTCTGGAAAAATCTGGGAGGAAAGGAAAAGTTATTTGCTGGCTAGGGAAACATCTGGCGTTGCTCAATTTTCAAAATTATATCCATACATACAACATAGGTCATTTTCCTGGGAGAGTATTTCAAAGGCAGAGAATAAAGTTATTCCCTGAATAATTCACAGTCATTTCAATTAGGCAAACATGTAATCATCAATTTTCCATGAAGAACACATTTGGGAATCGGATTTGTAATTCACAATAGGAACTGTGAATTCCAAGGGAGCAGGCCATGCTTTGGCCGTGAGTAGCAATAGTGCTCAGGGGGTGGGGGGCCTGAATGACAGGCTGTGGAGGTTCCTCCTCCCCAAAGGGAACTTTCACCTTGCCTACATAGCCTGCGGTGACTGTCCAAAGCCAGCTGGAGAGATTTTCTACGAAGCTTTCTTCCCCTGATACCTTGGCGGTGCGATTTTTAGCTAAGTGAGCAACTGAAGGGTGACAGAAAGCCAGCAAGGAGTCAGTGAGCTAGCTGTGCACTGGGATATACAGGTCTTATTTAGAATAAGGTCCCAACCGGTTCTTTCCAGGGATCCCTGGCTTCTTAAGCTGGGATAAACTCTAAGGGTAATGGTAGGAACCTAAAGCCCAAGGGCCAGTATGATGCAATCAAAGATCAAAGATCATTCATTCTCAATATACTGGTGAGTGTTAAAAAATTTAAGTGGTATAACCAGATATCTTGTGAAGTAAAATGCACAACTTGTGTTCGTTCGTAAGACTTCAAAAGTTTTTGCTGCATATACTTTCAAGGGAAGTTTACTTATCCAGTGAATATTTGCAGAGTGCCTACAAAACATGCAGCACTCTATTAGGTACAGCACAAAAACTGTTAGGGTGAAAGGCAGACAATGAGAGACAAAGCCAAGAAGCTCTAGGGCAACAGGCTCCCTTAGTTCTTAGTGGCAAATAAGAGAAACATGGTGGAAACACTTGCTTCCCAGGTTTGGGAAGTAGGGACAGGGACTCAGGGACTCTGGCCATACTGCAAGGAAAAACAGGGACAGGGAAGGTCTCTTGTGTAACATACGCTTCGATTCAGAAACGAAGAGAGACCCGTGGCTGTCTGTCAGGGTTCCTGAAGGCCAAGCAACCATCTTTGCAAAGTTGCCGTTGACATCTGCTTAAAAGGAACCCAAAAGGCTACCCAGAATCCCGCCTTAACAATAGCTGGTGCACAACTGCCAGAATGTCCTCCTTCCAGGAGGCCTAAATTCTCTTGACTTTTAGGATTCCACACTCCTCTAGTTTTCCTCCTTCCTCTGGCTAACTCCCCTCCTATCCTCTAGAAGTTCCTCTTTCTCAGTCCCCTACTGCAATGGTAGAGAGCAAAAAGATCGGTACGTCACCGACCTAAGTGATTGCTCTGTTGCTCCCCATCAAACAGGAAATCTTGGAAGGATGACAAAATATTGGAAGAGGGGCTGAACTGGCTTGGGGAAGCTGTTTTGACTCATAAACAAATGGGTGGATACTGTGCCAGTATCTTCCTCAGGATAAAGGCTGGGCTCATTAGTTCTGGGAAGGTTTCAAGGCATCATAATGTGTGTGTGTCAGTCTCAAAGGTGGAGCTGCCGTAAAGGACAACAGGGCTGCCAGCTCTGAGCAGCGAACACACCAGCTCATTGCGTGACACGATTTCAGTGTCAGCCGGCAGCAGCAGCTTGATTTGCAGTTTCTTTAATGGTAAGAAAAATGTGTATTTCTTTTCAAAGCCCAGCATGATGTTACTAGTTCCTCAATCCCTCTGGGCAATGAATGAGTGGATTATGTCATTAGAAGCAATTAGCAGGAGGCAGTGAGAACAATATTAAAGATTGTTTACTAGCATTTAAAGAATAAACAGGAGTTAATATAGAGGTCTTCCAGTCAATTATGAGTATTAGCACATTAATAGCCATTTCTTCATTCCCCAAATTCAAAAACTGACAATTTGGAGACAATTTTGTACTTCATTTTCTTGGTCTGTCTCTGTATGTGTGCGTGTGCGTGCATGCATGCATGTGTGTGTGTGTGTGTGTGTGTGTGTGTGTGTGAAGGATGAGAGGAAAGCTGGTTTCAGAGCTCACAAGCCTGCTAAGAAGGTCTCCAGGGCTGATTAAAGCTATTCCCAATGTCACATAGATCATTACAGAGCTAATAACCACTGACAACTGTAATTCTTGCAGCACTGCTTGATAGAACTTTCTGTAATGATGGAAATACTCCACAGATCCTTATCCAATAATAAGAAAAGAAGAATTAAATTTTATTAAATTTCAATTAAATTAGCCATAGGTAGCTTTATCCAACAGTACGACTGATCATCTGTCTTCATCATCAAGGCTGGAGACATGTTTGGGGCTGGCCAGTAGGACCGTAGAGGAGGTGAGCAAGCTGAATAATAGCTACCACTGTTGAAAGTGAAATGCTGGGCAGTTCAGTGAGGTGCAGGTCAGCTCTGGCATGGACTCAGGGTGACATCTTTGCCTTGGGTGCAAAGCCCCCAGTTGGCTGGTGACTGCTGGCACAGGGAATCCTGAGAGACCTGTGTTTGGGAAGCAGGTGGCCTTTACTAGAATAAATTTTTAGAGCACTTCCCTTAGGATTTTGGAGCTTTCTCAGGTTAACCTAAAATGTGCAACATCTTCAATGTGTTCAGGTCTTCCTCCTGCCTAGGCTTGAAGGTTTCCAAGTCACAAAACACGAGGGACTTCAGCAATGCTTTTAAAGGGAAATGGTGATGAGATACAAGATTCCTCTGTTGGTCCAGTAAAGGAGGACAATGAATATAGATACAGACAAAGGTCATCCTGCTTTTCAAATCTTCCTCATTTCGCCAATCTCCAGAAAGAGACAGGTGTTTTGATTCAGAATTCTGTCTCCCTGGAGACTGCTGTCTCCTTTCACAACAGAAGATGACTCCAGAGCCCCAAATCCTCTTAAAGATGGTTTGGCCTAATCTGCACTTTGGAATCAAACAGACCTGGGCTATGCACTTGGCCCTCACACATCATCCAAGTGGCCTTGGCCGAATTATAAGAACCTTAGGGATCCCTGTTCTTCTTTTGTTAAGTAATGTTACTAATTATATGAGTAAAACATATATAAGATATCCACTTATGCACCTTTCACAGATCTGGCTCACAAATATTAGTATCTTCCTGTTCTTCCAGTTAATGGTAACCCTCCTGTCTACTATTGGTCCCTCCACCTTTTGAGAACAATGATTATCTGTTATTCTGATCTGCAGGAATGTGCTCTGTCCCTGAAAATCAATTGGATTTTCTTCCTTTGAAAATATGCTTTTATTTTCCCCTTTTTGTTAGAAAAAACAAGTTATGATAAGGCTTAATTAAGCCTTAAAAGAAAATTTCAATCAAGGACAGTGGAAGAAATAGCCTGCTCCTACAGGGGTTCTGTGCATGAATAGACCACTTGCCGCTAGGTTTTCTGGGTGAGCTAAAAGACCAACGTAAGGTATATCACCCTTGGCAGCAGTGCGGAAGTCTGCCAATTCCTTGGTGGGAGGACATGTTTTGGTCACTCCTGAGCTCCAAATTAAGTTTGTCATGTTAGCGCTTAGAGAAGGGATGCTGGCCAACAAAATGGACAGTGTTTTCAATGAGAAGCAAAAGTTTCATGTTGTCATTTCTTGAAATGACACAACAATGTGTAGCCCTGGGCTCTTGGCAAGACGATGCAACATGAGTGATTCTGAAAGCCCCTAATCTCTATCTCTGAAATCGAAGGAAAATAGGGAGCAGTTGCTGATCCTGCAGATTCTCATGATGCCAATAATGGCCCTAACATAAACAACCTCTGGAGTTTCATCTGAACTGTCTCCTACAGAAGCAAGGCAATCTATCTCATTGTGAACCAGTCTGAACAAGAGTCTTCCATACTCTGTGGTAGGAAGAGAATGGCGTGAGGTTGGCATGTGATATCCATTGCCAATCTACCATCTGTGTTTAAAAACCTATATTCTGCGGATCTACAAGCTAAAATTAATGATAACTATCACTAATGAATGTTTGACAATGTGTAAAACACTACACTGAGTGCTACAGATGCAGGATTTTATTTAACCCTTATAACTGTTAGATGTAAAACCATCATCCTTTGACAGATGAGGAAATAGGAACGTAGAGCGATCTAGCGGGTTTCCCAAGACTACCCAGCTAGTGAGTGGGGAAGCAGGCACAAGAATACAGCTTGATGTGTTTCACATGATTTACTGCGGTTCTAAAGTGGTCAGAATTCCAGGAAACCCAGATTTGTGAATATCTACATCAGTCTAACCAAGTAGCAGAGCTGTGACTGAGGCAGGTAGAATTATGGGTAGGTATTAACACAGGTCTTCTGGTCAAACAGTGTGGTAAAGGACTCTGTCTGCTTCTCCACTTTCCAGTTTTGTGGGACAAAAAACTCTTTCATATTTTCCCCTGTAAAGTTAATACTTGAATCAACTCATCTATATCAAAATCACTGTTGGACAAGTTTCAAGGGAGTGCAGCCGCCATTCCTTCACCGCGTGTTTGCTCTTTAAGCTGTGACACCACATGGCTGCTCCCCTCTGAGAGCTCCTGTGGAAGTACACCTCTTTCAAAGGATTAAAATGATTTTACATCATATCCTCATTAATCTGTGTAAATCTAAATGGACTGTTTTGATGGGATGATAGGAAACCAATTTCAGCACAGTCTGCTTTGAATCCCTACTTTTAAGCACACAGACCTAGTCATCAGACTAGGATCTTGTGCTGAATGTGGATCTTGTGCTTAAATCCATTTACCAAACACCAAAAGGCCTTCCTTTCTGCACCCAGAAGGATGATTTTATATTAAACACAGATGGGCAGGCTCCCTAGGGAGCTTAACTAATGAATTTATAATCTAGGTGCTAATATTCCTTCGTTCATTAGGTAAGTCATTTTTAGAAAACTGGACAGATTTTCAGATAACAGACTAACACCTCTTTAGCCAAAAAACTGTCATTATTATATCTAGAAACAGGATTATTCTAGAGTCCACTAGAATAATTTCACCCTAAAAAGGGAAGACTCATGGCAAAGTAGACTGGAAGGTTAAGTTGACTTCTCTGAATTAAGTTCTGGAGGATCCTAGCTGAACGTCAGTGGAGGCATTGGACGGTTTGTGTCCATGTGCCACTTCTCCCCTCCTCCTCCCACTTCTATGTCCTTTGCCCAAGCTGAGTACATAAAAGCTTTATAAATCATCTTATGGGAGCATATGTCCTCACTATTGAGTTTTTCAAAGGGATGAAGAGATCAGGTATGGAATTGACTTTCTGGCTAACTGGGCTAAGAGATCATCTAGTCCTATTCTCTCACTTATTAGATAAGAAACTGTAGCCCTGAGAGGTCATGTGTCTGCCTAAAGGCACCCAGCTGGTTACTTAGAGTTGGGAAGCCTAGAATTAAGTCTACTCACTACCAGCTCATTGCTCTTTTCCTACACCATCTCCCCGAAGAGTAGGAGCTAACCTTTGTTTAAGAGCTACATTCATGATCACCCTCCCTCCTTATGCTAACTTCAGGATACAGGCCTTGTTAGCTCCATTTCAGATGGAGAAACTGCCCACAGTCATGCAGCTGGTCAGGGGAAGAGGCAGGACTGTGCCCATTTCATCTGGCTCCGGGTCTCCTGTCCTCACCACCATGCCACATTACCTTCCTGGAATAGGAAGATGTCCAATGCAAGGAATGCGGTGAGAAAGATGTCAATGCAAGAAATGCCCTCTTCCACTGCTCTCCCAAAGTGAGCCTTTCTTAGCACCAGCTGCATCTCAGCCCTTATTATTATTCTGCCCATTGTCCTCTCCCCTGAGGCCCCCTTTGAAGCTCACTGCCATAGCTTTTCAATCTCTGGGAACAACCTGAATTTTCATTCCTCAAGGAAGTTCCACCGTTGGAAGTTCTTTAATATGATTTTTAATGGTAATATTCGAAATAGTTTGAATTTACTCAACATTCAGCACAAAGGCCATTTAAGTAAAGGGCCAGGTGGATGGGCTCAGCAAAAACATGAAATAATGTTTGTCATTAGTGGGTGAGCTCTGTGTCTGAGCAGAACATCCACTGAGTTTCAAAAAGATCTGCCAGAGTTTCTCCTGGGTCGTAACTGGTGTCTGTTCTTTGTATAACTGTTAATTCTGATGCTTGTTCCTGGCTGTCCCTCAATCTCTTCACCTCTCCCCAGATCTTATTTTCCAGTTTTACTTTCTGTTTGTTTGTAGGACAATATGATAGGAGTACTTTGACTTTTCAGTCAGCAGCCTGTCTAAAGAAAAAGAAAGCAAATAGTGGGACTTGACTTCCCTAAAAACAGCTGGAAGTGCTTCCCACCTATTGGAACTACTCTAATGGCACCCATTTTGACAAGATATTTTTGGATTAAAATTCGTTGAGACAATTCTTGCAAGAATTGTCAATAGAAGTTCTTCTTGCAAGATTATCAAAACTGATTCTATCCCATCTGGGTTCACTGTTACCTGCATCTGCAAATAAAGTAATTTATACCTAGAAGAGAATCAGTATTGGGATTTGGGAATAAGGGCCATCCATGCTGAAAGTTTCAAGATCAAACCCAACACTAGGTGCCAGCTCTCCTGACAGCAGAGTGAGTCATTAAAAGTAAGGGCCATAGGGTTGCTGGAGTATGAATCCTTGTTCTTCTGCAAGTTGCTCTTTGAGCAAGTTACTTACTTGAGTAAGTTACTTACTCCTCAGTGCCTTAGTTTCCTTATCTGTGAACTGGGCATAATCACAGGATTACCTATGGTTACCATGAGAATGAAATGCATTAAAATAAGAGCCTGGCACATGGTAAGTGCTCAGTACATGTTAGTTGTTCTTGAACAACAGTTCCATGGGTGTTCTGGTAATTCTTTGATTCTCTCTGGGTATGCATGAGTAGTCAAATCTTACCTGGACTGCTATTCTTGTTCTGAGTACAATGCTGCATAGCCTACTTGTAAACTAGCACCCGTGCCCTGTGATACCCCATGGAGTGGGCCACGGTTCACCCTAGCTGAGGGTGGAGTGGTCCCAAACACAGTACCTTGCCTCCGTCGGCAGTTGAGTTTCCTAAAGCAGGTCCCTTCCACAAGGCGGTTCAGGCGTTGCTGTTTGATCAGCTCCAAGATTTCTGGCTGAATCTTCTCCTTTAGTTCCCTGTGAAGGACAAACATATATTCCATAGCATACCTTAAGAACAGCGGTTGGTTGAAAGGACATCATGGGCATGGCTTTCCAAGGGCTTTCCGTGGTTTTAAATGCTTACCAAACATTTAAAGAAGAGTTAATACCTATTCTTTTGAAGCTGTTCCAAAAGGTAGAAATGGAAGGAAAACTTCCAAAGTCATCCTATGAGGCTTGATTCCAAAACCAGACAAAGACCTCACTAAAAAGGAGAATTACAGACCAATTTCCCTGATGAACATGGATGCAAAAATTCTCAACAAGATACTAGCAAATCGAATCCAACAGTACATTAAAAGAATTATTCACCATGATCAAATGGGATTTATTTCTGGGCTGCAGGGCTGGTTCAATATGTGCAAATCAATCAATGTGATACACTACATTAATAAAAGAAAGGAAAAGAACCACATGATCTGCTCAATAGATGCAGAAAAAGCTTTTGACAAAATACAGCATCCTTTCTTGACAAAAACCCTCAAGAAAGCAGGGAAAGAAGGAACATATCTCAACATCATAAAGGCCACATATGAAAGACCCACAGCTAATATCATCCTCAATGGGGAAAAACTGAGTTTTCCCCTTAAGATCAGGAACACGACAGGGATGTCCACTCTCACCACTGTTGTGTAACATAGTATTGGAAGTCCTAGCCTCAGCAATCAGACAACAAGAAAAAATAAAAGGCATACAAATGGGCAAGGAAGAAGTCAAACTTTCACTCTTTGCAGACAACATGATATTCTATGTGGGAAACTAAAAGACTAGACCAAAAAACTGCTAGAACTGATACATGAATTCAGCAAAGTCACAGGATATAAAATCAACATACAGAAATCATTTTGCATTTCTATATAACAATAATGAAGCAGTAGAAAGAGAAATCAAGGAATCGATCTCATTTACAATTGCACCAAAACTGTAAGATACCTAGGAATAAATCTAACCAAAGAGGTAAAAGATCTATCTCCTGAAAACTATAGAAAGTTTATGAAAGAAACTGAAGAAGACACAAAAGAAATGGAAAAACATTTCATGCTCACAGATTGGAAGGACACATGTTATTAAAACGTCTATACTACCCAAAGCAATCCACACATTCAGTGCAATCCCTATCAAAATAACACCAGAATTTTTCACAGAGCTAGAACAAACAATCCTAAAATTTGTATGGAACCACAAAAGACCCCAGATAGCCAAAGTAATGTTGAAAAAGAAAACCAAAGCTGGAGACATTACAATTCCAGACTTCAACCTGTATTACAAACCTGTAATCATCAAAACAGTATGGTACTAGCACAAAAACAGACACATAGATCAGTGGAACAGAATGGAGAACCCAGAAATGGACCCATAAATGTATGGCCACTAATCTTTGACAAAACAGGAAAGAGTATCCAATGGAAAAAAGACAGTCTCTTCAGCAAATGGTGCTGGGAAAACTGGATAGTGACTTGCAGAAGAATGAACCTGGACCACCTTATTACATCATATACAAAAATAAACTCAAAATGGATGAAAGACCTAAATGTAAGACAGGAAGCCACCAAAATCCCAGCGGAGAAAACAGGCAACAACCTCTTTGACCTCGCTTGCAGCAACTTCTTACTAGACATGTCTCTGGAGGCAAGGGAAATGAAAACAAAAATGAACTATTGGGACCTCATCAAGATAAAAAACTACTACACAGAAAAGGAAACAATCAACAAAACTAAAAGGAAACTGACAGAGAGAAGATATTTGCAAAGGACATATCAGATAAAGGGTTAGTATCCAAAATCTACAAAGAACTTACCAAACTCGACACCCAAAACACAATTCAGTGAAGAAATGGGCAGAAGACATGAATAAATGCTTTTCCAAAGAAGATATCCAGATGGCTGACAGATGTATGAAAAGATGCTCGACATCACTCATCATCAGGGAAATACAAATCAAAACCAACTGAGATACCACCTCACACCTCTCAGAATGACTAAGATTAACAACTCAGGAAACAACATACGTTGGTGAGAATGTGGAGAAAGGGGAACACTTTTGCATTTGGTGGGAATGCAAACTGGTGTAGCCACTCTGGAAAATAGTATGGAGCTTCCTCAAAAAATTAAAAATAGAACCACCCTATGATCCAGGAATTGCGCTACTAAGAATTTATCCAAAGAATGCAAAAAAGTGATTCAAATGGGCACATGCACCCCAATGTTTATAGCAGTGCCATCAACAATAGTCAAAGTATGGAAAGAGCCCAAATGTCCATCAACTGATGAATGGATAAAGAAGATGTGGCGCGCGCGTGCACACACACACACACACACACACACACACACACACACACAATGGAATACTACTCAACGATAAAAAAGAATGAAATCTTGCCATTTGCAACAATGTGGATGACACTAGAGTATATTATGCTAAGCAAAATAAGTCAGTCAGAGAAAGACATATCAAATGATTTAACTCATATGTGAAATTAAAGAAGCAAAACAGATGAACATAGAGGAAGGAAAAAAATATAAAAACAGAGAGGGAGGTGAACCATAAGAGACTCTTAAATACAGAGAACAAACTAAGGGTCGTTAGAGGGGAAGTTGGTGGGGGATGGGCTAAATGGGTGATGGGCATTTAGGAGGGTGTTTGCTGGGATAAGCACTGGGTATCATATATATGAAATGAATCACTAAATTCTACTCCTGAAACCAATACCATACTATATGTTAACTAACTTGAATTTAGATAAAAATAAAATAAAGTAAGAAACAAAAAGAAAAAGAAAGGGCATTATGGGCAGATGGGGCAGGGAAGTGCAAGTTGCATCTTTCCACGACCATCCCACTACCTCCCAAGTTGGTGCTTTAGAGAATTATTTATTAAGAGTTAGTGGATGGGGTTATCTGTTATAACAACACTATAGATTCTCTGACATTTACAGAATACCCACAAAAGCACCAGCCGCTTCAGTGACATTTTTCTAGACCAAAGTCTCCCGAGAAATTTCTTCCATTTCACAAGTCATAGATATAAATGCATGCAGAAACTCACTAGACTCTGCCAAGACAATAAATATTTGGTCACATTTCCCCCCTACAGCAGGTAAACTCATAGACTACACCTACGATCCGACCAAATAGCATTACTGGTCAGCCCTGTAATTACTAATTCCACAGCAAACACTATATCCTGGGCAAACCACAGGCATTCCGTTCTGTCTCACAGATGGGAAAAACACATCGCCCCAGACTCCAGCCTACAGAGATTGGGATAATCATGGGATAAATTAAGGATTATTTGCATCTGGTGTAGGGCTAATATAAAGTTGTTTTAGATGTACTATGCCATAAAGAGATCAGAATAGAGTACAATGGCTTCTAAATCTTTCTTTAAAGAGCATAATTTTTTATCATGTGAAATTTTATGTAGCACCCTAGTGTTTGACTCTGGTAAAGCTAGAGCTATTCTAGCTGATGCTGGGCAGGAAGAACCCTCAGGAGAGGTGAAGTATTGATTTGAACATAGATCTAGAACTCAGAAAACTAGGGTTTCAACCTAAACTCTGCCCATGACTCATTTTTCATGTAGGTCTCAGCTTCCCCATCTGTAAAATGGGGATAAGAATCTTTTCTGGGAAACTGCTGTGACTCACAAGGGACACAGTATGAGTGCAAATGCTCTATAAGCATCGGGCAGGAACACAAGGTATTACTGAATTTGCTTTGATAATATTCTCTCCTTTCCTCAGGCCACCTCTCCTTGTGGCCATATTTCACTGTAGTCAAGGCTCACATATCTGTCAGCTTCAATTTTAACTCTGGACCTGTTCTGGACTATAGGCCAGCTGTCTCCACACGGTGTTTGGTTCACGGGTGGGGAAGGCACTCACTCTGGGTAAGTGTCTGCTATGAGCAGCTAGTGTCCTGTCCCATTTTAGCTCATCCCCTTCCTGTTTTCTCTCAGAATAGCTCATGTTTTGGGAATATTTATCAGTGTCATTAGTAAATGGGCAGTATTTCCATTTTACAGGTGGAGAAACAGTTCACAGAGGTTACGTGTGGAATAGGGGTACAAACTTAAATCTTCTGCATACAAACTGCTCCTATTTATATGTGAGAAAAAGAGAATTAACAAGTTACATCAGGGTGCCTGGGTGGCTCAGTGAGTTAAGTGTCTGACTCTTGGTCATGGCTCAGGTCATGATCTCACAATTCGTGGGTTTGAGCCCTACAAAGGGCTCTGCACTGGCAGTGTGGAGACTGCTTGGGATTCTCTCTCTCTTTCCTTCTCTCTCTGTCCCTTCCCCACTTATGCTGTCCCTGTCTCTCTCAAAATAAATAAATAAACTTAGAAAAAAATTTAAAAAGTTACATCAAAGGATCTGGCCATTATCTAATGGGGTATGCCAGTACACTCTGCTAATACATATTTTAAACTCAAATGGCTTCAAATCTCTTGTCATTTGATACTGTTCCAATTGAGCATTTATAAAGCATAATATGGAGATTCATCCCTAATAATACAGCTTGGTATATTTGTAAAGCTGTTCCTGTGCAGGCCTCCAGGGTCTCATCTCAGGCTTTCAGATCACTAAAGCTATTTATTATCAATGCTCAGCTTTTGTAAAATGGACTTAGTATATTGCAGCTTTGATGAACCCTGCTCTGAATGGGAGAAGAAGGTAGGGGAATTGACGGGGCAGTCACACACAACAATAAATCACTGCTCCTGACTTCCAAGTCAGGGCGATGGGACAGAGAGGACAAGACTGTACTGCGGGATGAAGAAATCACTGGAGAGAGGGTTTGGGAATTTCTCTGATTCTTAGGTTAAGATGTATCTTTAGAGAATAGTTTTGGTAGGCTAAAACTCAATTATTAAAAAAAAAAAGGAGATAAAGATGCAGAGAAGAGGACTAAAAAGAGGAAATAAGTGAAAGTACTTCCGAGTAATTTTAGTTGATGATTTATGACGTCTTAGTG